TAAAAGTAAGTAATCTCTTCCCTTTTTTGAATACACTTCATGCTTGTTGTAATCTATATCTTATTTCTTTGGCGCATCCTTCATCACTTGTTATCGTACTTCTTAAATACTCATATTCATCAATTACTTCTAGTGTGCACAATCTTATTTTATATCTGGCCTACCTGCTTCATTTCGACTACAGACGAGGATTTTAGTTTATGACTTGTTTATTTTCATGTTGTATTCCTCCCTAAATATGCTATTCATAATCGTTAGAATGTTTTGAAAATCTTCTTCATTCTCCACTAACACCGCTATGTCATCTGCAGCAAACCGTAGAATATCTTCTTTTTCGCCTTGAATTTTTATTCCTACTTGTATTAAATCCATCACTCGATTAATTGCTTATTGTACAAACAGATTGAATAAACATGAGGATAATAAACATCCCTGCCTTACGCCTTTCTTAATTTCTGCTATTTCCTGACTATCTTCGGAGCGTACTACTTTTATCTCATTTTCAAAGAGACTTTTTATTATTATTCTATCTGATTTGCAATCTCTTTTTTCTTTAAAATCTGAAATAATGTTTTCCATTTTACAATGTCGAACGCTTTCTCCAAACCAACAAATGCTATGAACGTTGGTTTGCTTTTCATAGTGTGTGCGTACGAATATAAATATTAAAATATGTATGTATATTTTAAATCCAATTTTAAAATAATAAAAGTTTTTAACAGTAGCACATAAATTGATAACCGATCATATAATACATACATTTCTTTATTTACTTTTAAATTAATAATATTATAAATAATTAATTTTCTTATAAATCGTTATATTGTAAAACGATTAACTGTTAATAAGTTGAACGTAGTTAGTAAAGTTTTTTTTTAGTGTTTGAAATTAGAATTTTGATAAAACTAATAAAAACTTCGAATTCGCAAATCATTTTGTAGTTGAAAATGAATATAACATTTAGTATTAACCATTGGCATAATATTCATACCTAACATTTGAAAATTTAATGTATTGTTCCCCATTAGTTTCTATTTCTAAAATAAAAAAAAAAAAATTAAAACGTAATTGCACAAATATTTTTTATGAGCGTCTAAAGTTTAAATTTTGACGAAATTGAAAATTCACGCATAACATAACATTCTCTCATCAATCAACTTTTTTGTTTTGTTATAAGTAATTCAAGAAAAAATTACTGTGAATACTTTAATTTTTCATCAAATATAAATTTTAGCATTTTCTATATGTATATGACTTAATTTTTAAAATATTTAATTTTTTTTTTAATATTTATAGACTACAGAAAGTTTCGACTTTTTTTAATTTTAATTTTTTAATTTCAATAAAAAAATTTTGCTTGTTCAAAAACCTTGGAAAATTAATACAAAGTTCATCATGGGTAGTTATTATAGAGATTTAGTTTTATTATTTTTTTTTTTTTTTGAAGATAATATTTTCGAAATCTTATTCTTTTCCTACTCATACAGAATTATCGAATATAATTATTACGTGATATTGTATCGAAATATTATCCTTTATGCGCTCAGAATAATATCAGTCTTCAATCTTCATTTCAGCTACTTAAGATTATAATAGTTTTTCATATTTTTGAAATATTATCCCTTTTCTACTCATCTGTTCAAATATAAATGAAACGAAGGCGTGCAAAGATTTTTTAAGGAATTTAAAATTAAAATTTTTATAAAATCACAAAAATTTTAAAATTTTTTAATTTATATAGTTAATGCTTGAAAATTTAATAAACATTAGTTAGACTAGAAACAAGTAATTTAAAAACATTGATAAACTTATATATATTTTTTTTTTAACATTTGAAGTTCACATTTGGAAAAAATTAGATATTTAAACGAATAAACAATTTTAATTAAGTATTTCGTTATAATAAAAATAAAATTTCAGATTTAATATTAAAAATATTGACATAAAATTAAATAAAAATAATATATAATGTAAATATTTAATATTATAATAATAAAATATTAATAGCATAATAAATGCATTGTTTTCAATAAAAATAATTCAACCTATTATACTACTATAATAGTAAAATAAATATCTATAATATCTTTAATAACAATATAGAATCATAAAATATACATGTAATATATGTTCACTCAGAATCGTTTTCATTTGCAATGATTTATCATTGAAATCAAATTTAACACTTACATTAATAACTAAATAATAGGATGCACTCTACACCTATTGTACTATAGAGCGATACACTTATATCTTTCTTATATTCAACATGAGTACCTAATTTGAATATTAATTTAAAAAAAATATAATACTTTTTAAATATAAATATTTTTTTTTTCTTAAACATGTATTTTACAATAATCATTTGGGTGGTAAGTTTATAAATATCGAGATAGAAACGTGTATGATGAAGCCAACTATTTATAGACATTATGTGATGAAATATTATACAAAATATTAAGTTTTCGAGACATTCTGTGAAAGAAAGCCAGACTTTAAATGTCATTGAAAAGTAATTTAGAAAATCTATAAATGATAGTAAGGCGATTACTAAAATTCAAAAAATGTTACAACATACAGTGATTTAATTCAATTCATGAAATAAAATATCAATATTCAACCATAAAATAAAACAATATAATACACAATATTAATAAACATTAATGCTTAATTAATCTAAAAAGACACTTATTTTTATTAAAGAAATATAATTTTTTTTTATATTTACAAAATATAAAACTTTAGATAAAAAATATAAAATTAAAATCATCGAGATAAAATGTTTATGTTTAATTTCATACCTATCATATTATACCTATTTTTTTTGCATATTATATAAATAAAATTTAAACAATTATTTATGTCTTTCGTTTATTGCATTAATTTTATTTAGAAGCAGAGGCATATTAATTATAGGCGATATTAAATTCATTTAATATTAAATAAGGAATATTATAAAAAAATAATTAATTAAATTTATTTTTAATTGTTTTAAATTATATTTTAAATACTATTTATTATGTGATAATAATAATAACTTAGGTAGGTGGTCAATTAGTAGTACATAAATTACTTTAAGTTTATAATATAAAAGTTATAAATTATAAATTTAAAACCAATGATTTCGAAACTAACTTACGTATAACCTTAAGCGAAAGATTAAATGCGGTTCCCAAATTTCGAACAATTCATTTATTTAATTGAACACTCGTTAAGTTACTTTTCAAAGAAATAGTTTAAGTGAGCAATAAATTATTAAGTAATACTATTTCTTTAAATAAAATATAAAACGACAATCTCAGTTATCATAATTTTTTGTAGTTAAATATTTTCTAACTATTGAGTTTGTGAAATTTTGGTTTTTAATTTCTTGTATTATGCCCTATTTAACATAAAAATTCAGTAGTATTGTATATATGTGTAATTGTATATTGACTATTAAGGTAGCACCTCATTTCAACGCCAATTTTCTAAAACATAAATTTTAATAATTTTTTATCCAAATTTCAGAAATAAGAATGTATTTATATTGTTCGTCTATAATATTAAACAAATAAATTACATTTATGTTGTAAACTCTATTTTAGATTGATAAAATATTGAAATTCTAGAGGGAATCAAATAATTGAATAAGAATGTATTATAATGGGCTTGAAACGAATTATAATTATCTGCCAACCACTATTGTATCATAACTTTTGCTGACTTATCCATGAAAGCTTTTTCGTGTTGATAAAAAAAACATTAACATTAATATACGATACAAAAATACAAAATGTTTCAAGAAATCTCCAAAATTATGAAATTAAAAAGTATTAAATTATTTATAAATTGAGACATGAAACATGATATACGAAAAAACACTACAGTGTTTAACTGAATTATATTGTATGTCGTCGGAAGTTTTTATTAGTCTTGAAAGTTGAAACTAATTATAAAACCAGATTAGTTTAATTTTATTATTTTAAAAACCAAATAATAGTATTTAACTTACAATTTGTTTTAATTAATTAAAATGTTTATTAAACATAATCCAAAACTTAAATTTATTTTATTTCAGTTTTACTCTTTAATAATTCGAGATACAAGTATTAGCGGTATAAAGTACTATTTCATTTGTTAAGTAATTACATTTTATAATTTTAAGAAAATAATATCTATTCCAATTTTCTTTTCAATTCAAAGTAATTTCTACATATTATTAAAAAGTAAAAATGCATTATGTATAAACATTTAATCATGATAAAAGTACATCATTACATTAATTACATATAATACGGTATAGTATATTTATTTTATTGTTTAATACGGTAAATATTTAGCGAACGTGTTGTGCGCTTCATTAGTCTAAAGAACCAAATTTCTTTTTTTCTTTTGGTCCTTTACAAAGTTAACACACGAATAATTATGATTTTCATTCTATAAAATTAAAAAGTAAACAGATAAAAAAATGCCGATTTTATGTTTTAAAACACTGCAACTACTGCAGTTAATATTTTTCTTTATTGTACAATGTACATAGTACATACGTACATTATATATTATAAGAATTTTATTTAGCGTTCATGTGTTTCAATGTTCCTGATTAAATTTCGTCTGAAAATCAGTCTATAATCGAACTTTCAAACCTTTAGCCTAAATGAAATTATTAGATACGTCTTAACCAATGAGACAGCATCACATTTTTATGACACGTTTTCATAAGTTATTAATTGTATACATAATATCGTTATATTAAAATTATAAATACATTTAATAATTGTTTCAATGAAATTTATATAAATAACATTTATTTAAATATTAGTTATGACATATTTCTTATACCATTTAAAACTATAAGTAGATTACTAGATTATAATGCGATTGAAAATAAGCAGATTCAATTCGACCTAAGATAAAAATTTGATACTTAACAATCTAGTGGATCGTTTACTAATTTACAAATAATATTACTTAACATTTCTATACTGAATATTATATATATATATATTTTTTTTTAGGGATTTAGAATTAAACGATTATACTTCCACAAAAACAATTAAATAATAAGTCAAAAATAATGTCGACTCATATAAATGACGAAATAAGCTTCACTGACAGGTAAGTTATACTATTGTTAAAATAAAAATAAAATATATCTTAATACATAAAAATAGCTATAAAAATAAAACCACATTAAGCCAATACTATAATATACTAATAATATACTTTTTGATCTATAATCATTTAAATTAAAGGGAATATTGAAAATGTTTTCAATATTTCTACTATAATTTTTTACATTAATATTATTTAATTTTAAGTTTAAGCGAAGTTGAGCTTACAATGATGTAGGTATGTTATTTTTGTTTGATTCTATGTTTCACAGTAATAAATTATCTTCAAAACTGAGGATGGTTTTTGGTAGATAATTTAATCTAGTTAGTACTTTCAGGGGTTATAAGTAATATAAACAGAAATGTTGTTAATGTATTAGTTAGTAATACATATTTCACGATTAGAATAAAATAAATATGAATTATAATTTTAATAATTGATCGAAACGGTTTAATTTAAAACTAAATAATTTAACTTCATCTACTATTTAGGTTTATAAAATATTATCTGTTGGCTGTTGTATGTCTCGGAAGCTTGGGAAATTGTTTATCAGTACTAGTGTTTTTTGGAACAAAATTGCGAAAACAATCATCATCATATTATTTATCTTCGTTAGCAATCAGCGACACATTATTTTTATTAACACAACTGATGCCTGAACTACCCAAAGTTGGAATCGAAATATACTACATGTATGGGTTTTGTCAATTTTTCATCTACTTAGCACAGGTAAAAAAATAGTACTATAAATAATGGCTGATATATTCAATAAAACTTTATGTATAAACAAAATGTTTAATGTTTAAATTCAACTTTAAATATTTGAAAAACTAAAACTAAATTCTTTAGGTATTAATTAAAATAGCTGTAATTTTACTACTAACAGATAATCCATCTATAAAATCGAATTAGTTAATTATAGCCGTTATTTATCATATAATAAACAATACTTTATTTTAAAATACGGCATAAGATCAGACGATGAAACACTTGTCTCAACTGTTTGACTTATAAAACCTATTATTATAAAAATAATTTATCATAATAAATCATATTAATTTCATTTTTAAAATATATATTATGTATAAATTTATTTAACTGTATTTATAAAATAATCAATCTATAATTAAATATTACAATAAGCATGTAAGCAGATATACTTTATCACTTTAACACGCATAAAAACAAAAGTAATATTTTAAATAATACTTTATAAGATGACTTATTAGATTTGATTATGATTTAAGCTAATTGCGATTTAAATGAGACTTAAGTATCTACGCCATATTTTTAAAACCTGTGAGGAGGATTACCAAGAACAATGATGAGACCAAGAACAGATATTAGTGGATTTAAATAATTTGTTAATTGAGTGTAGAATCGTTTATAAAGATTTTGGTTACATTATTCTAAGTATTTGTTATACCTAAAAACGTAATGCCTATTGTAAACCTAGTATTCGATCTTTAGGAATAAAAACTAAAACTGGCTATAATATAGTTTGCAATTAATTTAATAATATATATATAAAAACAAATACAAAACATATCTCTCTTAATTATCTTATTCAATTATAAAGCATCGTTAAATTTATAAAATTGAAGTAAAACCAAACATTATTGCTTAAAAAATAAAAACAGGCATGTGTGATTATATCGTAAATTATGAATTTTCACTAATTACATGATTGGTACATAATCACCAAGCATATCTTCAAAATCAAAATTTTTATGCTGGCATATTTAAGTTGATGTTTTATTAAAGCAATAAAAATACTAAATATTTTAAAAGATGTCAATACAACATTTTTTCAAATTATATGATTAAATATTATAATAATTAAAGTTAAGTTGAACAGAGTAATAAACAAACATTTTGTGGGGTATCCCCATACCACTCCACTCCGCTAATTTATACTCAAATTCTTATAATGCATAAAATACTTATCCGAGTTTTAATTTTTATGCATCGAAATACTTAGAAAATTACTTGGCTTCGGAATATAATTTAAAAATATATGTTGTCATTCAAAAAAGTAGAAAAAAATTAAAAAATTATAGCGATAAAAATATTGCTTTAAGAACAACAAAAACACATTAAAAAACACCAATCGATTTTGAAACAATGAATGTCCGATTAAAGATTCACCCTGAATACTAACAAAAGTAAAACGCCTACTTTAAACACTATGAACTTTATAATAATTTATTACGTATAAAATGATAAGTTCAAACTTCAAAACCATTTGCTCAAAATGAAATGGGTGTAATTGGAGTAAACACACTATTCTCTTTTACCTTATACTTTAATGTTGCCCGGGGTTTCCTTAATTCACAAACAGTATAAAACTTCATATTTGATTCACATAAATACAATGGGGTGTAATGTATTAAAATGTATAAGCACTTCCAAAATCACTAGAGGAAATGTAAGTAAAAACACTTCAAAGATAAGAATATTAATACAAGTAATTTATTTTAAAACTCAGAAACCTTCAATCAACATACAATACTACATGAAAAATTGAAAAATAAGGATTCAAATAAAGCATACATTATTACAAAGCTAAATTATTTTGATTAATTATTAATCATGGAATTTTATAAATGCTAAACATATTAATTACATAAATAATAAATAGATGTCTTAAATTAGCAAATTGAAAATAAAATAATATCACTTAAGCTAACTTTAATTTTTATGTTTTTATATATAAATTTATTAATATTCAGATATATTTTAAAGGTAAAAAAAAAAAAAGAATAATATAAAACATATACAAGGGTATTCTTTTACTGATATAAACACATAATTTCAAAAATAGAAGCATTTTTGAAATTTTATCTATAAAAAGTTTAATAATAGCTCTATTTGATTTAAACATTCTTAAATTGATGAAGGTTCTGTATTATAAACATATAATTTTTAATATTTATTGATTCATAAATATCATATATTAAGCAATAATTTTTTTTATAAGTGAAGCACTATTTATTTTGTGTAGTACCTTTTACCACTATACTTCTCTTTTTAGTCTAAAGTACTTGGTATATACGTTTAAAAATTATTGCTACAATTTACAATATTTTATCGTAATAAATCGAAATTTTAAGGAACGATTTAAAAAATTGACGTTCAAAAATTAAAAGTCTAATTCATCCACTAATTTTTAAGTATAGGTACTATAATAACTAATAAATCTATAAGTTAATATTACCTTGACTTATAAAATCCATAGACCAAAATTCCAAATTAATGAAAATTTTTAAATTAAATACTTTTCTCTGTTAACAATATGGTAAAAATTAAACTAGAATATAATATCTTGTAATTGTGTTAAAAAAGAAAAAAAAATGCTTTTACTTTATCGTAAAATCAAATATATATATATATATATATACTGTACATAATTAAGTTTAAAGAAGATTATGTTAGTAATTAATTTTTATAGCATGATAAATGCGTACGCCATACGATTTAAAGTAAATCAATTAAACGTCGTAATAAACAGTAACAAAACTAGTGAAAGCACTAAAATCTGTCTCGTGGATAACAATTCTTCTTCTTCACAAATAACAGCCTGTAACCTTCTGATGAAGTAAATCAATCCTCTCAGGTGTGGCATTTTATTAGAGTAATTCTAAGGCATTATCTTAATTACAATGAAAAATCTATAAAAGTGCATGCAACATTCAAAATATAGTTTATCTACAATTTGAAAAAAAATAGAACTCTAACATAATTTATAGTAAATCAATTATATTACATGATAAATAACATCATCAAGTAATAACAATTGAAACATTTAAATATTAATATATAATTGAAACCAATTTTATAAATAATATTGCGTTCATTTAATTTCATAACATGAGTTAAATAATTACCAACTTTCATTTATTTTTAAGTATTTCAATTTAGTTATAGAACCTTAAATCTTAATTAACAATAGGTATTTAATATATATTTAGTTTTAAAAATTGTGTTTAAATCAAAAATATTGATGAATTTAAAAATATTTTTCTAAAAGTTGCATACACAGCTGTAAAAAATGTTAATAGATTATTTTAGGTATAAAAAAAAAAAAAAAAAACGATGCCAATGGTACTATTAATTAGATTTTTATAATTTTTGTCATTTTATCAATGTAATGTATTATTTATTAAACAAATAATTGTTTGGCTTTTTTTTTTTTTACATAGATGTGTAGTTTTATTAGCGTGTGGCTAGTTGTAGTGTTTACATCAGAACGTTTTATAGCTGTTCGATATCCATTACACAGATCGGTGATATGTACAGTATACAGAGCTAAAATCGTACTATGCATATTATTCACGTTTGCATTAGTAACGCATATACCTTATTTAGTGATTTCAGCACCTAATAACGTGACTTTAAAAAAGTAAGTATTGTTTAAAATTAAATCATACTTAACACAAATTGGATATTTGTTTCACAAAAATATAATTAATTTTAAAATAAAATTCATTCTTTATATTTTAAATCACACTTTAAAAATATATTTTACATTATTCATTAAAAAAAATTAAAACTTTGTTTTTGTTCAACATTATTGTGTATAAAGCAAACTCAAACTGATTTATGTATCACCAAATACCAAAATATCTAATTTCATTACAAATATTGTATTCATAGTGTCAAACAGTAAGTAATGATACGTTACAACATCTTAATTAATCATTTTACGAATAGCAACTCAACAACAACAGAATGTAGCCTGAACTTTTCCTATTACGAATTATATACATGGCTAAACTATGCAGACGTATTAATAAACATGATGATACCATTTTTCTTGATCGTGGTATTCAATAGTATGATTTGTCAATCTGTGTGTCGGTTAGCCAGAATAAGACGAACAATGACACTTCATCCATCTAGAAGAAGACAATCTATATCACAAAACTCACAACACACATCTCAAATAAAAGTAACAGAAATGCTCTTAGTCGTGTCTTCAGTGTTTTTATGTCTTAATCTACCATCATACGTATTCCGAGTATGGATGGTATGGGACAATGTGGTGAGTATTACATTAATTGTTGTACATTTATAATAATTTATACTAAATGTTTATTGGCTATAAAAATAGTTTAAAGACTAACAACAATTTATAATTTTTTGATCACTTAGAAATTTATAACATATTGTTAAGGAGAATTACAGTTAAAATATCTTAAAAATATATTTTACTCAAACATTTGTTTACATAAGTTACATTTCTTGGTTTTTAGACGTCAACACAATACAAAACTACACAAGACATTGCAAATCAAATGTACAACACACATTTTGGAATAAATTTCGTACTGTACTGTGTAAGTGGTCAAAATTTTCGAAGAGCTTTAGCTGAACTTTGGAATAAAAGAAGACATTACAAAAAAAGATTAAGGGAAACTCAGGTCACAACAGGTAAAGATTATTTATGTTAAAAAAAGTATTAACTAATTAATTACCTACTATATATCAAATAGAATAACAAACATTTTTTGAATAATATATTAGATATGTTATTTTATAAGTTAAACAAAATATAAGGTTTAAATAAAATATATTAAATGTATACAAATACATGAATACATGATATTATCTTACTGAGGAGAATTTCAAGCATTTTTTTTCTATAAATATTGAGTATCAATACCAAATCTTAAACAACACAAATTAATTTAAAAATATATACCAATAAATACTATATATATATATACTAAAATATTGGTGATAATTAAAGGTATTATTATATTTTAATGCAAATAAATATGAATATAGTGTATAAGTACACCACATATAATTGTCAAATAGTTCTAAAATGTTAAATTTTATCAAAATCCAATCAAATGTATTTGTATTGAATAAATAAGAATATCCAAATATCTAATAAGTGATAGGGCTACAACATAAGAAAGATACACGCATGAACTATATAAATAGCAAGTTTGCGCGTTGAATAAAACCATAAATATATAACCTGCACATTTTTAAAAATAATATTAAATGTCTAATAAAAATTATTCAAAATGATCGATTTTGCATCTTGAATAGATAGCGTTTAAGCTTCGTTAAAAAATAAACACGAGTTACTATCAAATTTTTATTCAGAAATTTGCTACGAATAAAATAATTTCAGATAAATTTTTTCAATTACCATTGTAAACAAAAATTAATACGTTGTAAGTAATTTAAAGTCATGCAATAAAATTTTTTTCAAAATTTTAACTTTTAAAATAATATTTTATTTTTTTCAGTTCATAATAGATAAATAACTTCTTATTAAAAGTTATAAAAGGTAAAATTATTTTAGATTATTATTTTACCTCAAAATTAATTTTATGATAAAATTTTCCAGAAATTAACATAGAAGTTTATTTCCAATACTTTTCAACACTTTTTGAAAACAATCTAGTTGCTTGCCAAAACTTTTAAACTAACCTAAAAGGTATTTATTTTTTTTTTATACGCTGAGTAATAAACAAAGCATACTTCTCCCTTCTTTATATTGTTTAATATAATACATTTTTTGAATGTTTAAAAATATCTACTCAAGACATTATTTTCGAATAATAAAATTTTTTAACATATTATCACGTTTAAATCGAAATTCAAACTAGCAGTTTCTGAGTTAGTAACTTTATTTACTGATAATAATAGTTCTATATAATGATTTAACATAACATTTAAAATTAATTAATATTTACGAGTAGTCAAGTACTCCAGTACTTATACTTACTAAAACGATTTTTACAAATTATAAAATTGTAGTAACTTAGTATTCAAATCATTGAAGTACCTATATCTTGTAAACCAGTTAACATACACCATTATCCTTAACAGTTATAAGCACATATTAATAATTAAAAAACTATTAGTTCAAATTTCAAAATTATTTATTTTTTTTATCACTCTTTTATAATTTACAATAAAAAGAGTGGCTTTGATTTGAAAAAATAAGTTCATCCCAGACACTTCTTAAATTGTATAAAGTATACCTGTTTAAAAGTTCCAGAACAGAATTTGAATAAATTGGTTATTAAAGCGAAAAAATTAGGATGAGGATGCTTAGTGAATCACTCAATATACGTATACACAAATTATAAAACTAATAACTTTCACATTTTCAAAATAAACTAAGAGGCTTAAATCTAATAATGGACAATGGAGTATTACAGTGTTATTGATACACTTATTTTTGACAGGATATCGGTTACATTCTAACATACGCGATTTAAAATACGGATATAATTTAGAAAATAAACAAAGTAGAAGTGGTTTTAAACACCTATACAAATACAACCAATAGTTAGAAATGAACTCTTAAAAATTCTAAACAAATAGCATAAATAGGAACACAAGAAAATAGTAAACATTTGAAAGTTTAAAACATAATAAAAGAAAAATAATTGTACACAACAAATAAATTGGATTATTCATATAGAAGTAAGAAAATATATTTATACATATAAATATAAACTTAAAATAAACTAAAAAGAAATCGTGAATTGTATTATTATTACAGTAATTTTCATTTTTTTTTTTTTTTTTTTTTTTGAAAAGAATTGAAAAATATATTATTAATATAAGTACCATATAACTAAATACCATTAGACATTCATTATTAAACTAGGTAAATATATTTAAAATCAATGTACCAACGTCCTTAAATTGTTTTTCTAAATTAATTTATTGATCTTTAATAATTATATTGTTCTATTTTCTACAACAAAATAGTATAATTCCTTAAATTCGTGAAGTTGCAGTCTTAAATATGTTAAACTTAATCGTAATTTGAAATTTGAATGCGAAAATCAATACAATTTTCAAATAACACTATATACCAACTAACAAGTAACAAGCTTCACTAATATTTTATTTTTTTAATATTAGGTTTAAAGTTGAAAATAATTAAATAACATTGTAACATTTTAAAAATAATAAATGCAAGAAGTATATTAAATGGTAAACTTTAGGTATAAGTATTAACATTATTTGTTTTTAAATAAACTGTAAATTTAGTAAAATAATAATGAAAAATAAAACGACTATTTTCATTTCATTATTAATCATTATAGAAGTCTACGATTTTTATAATAATAAGTGAATATTTTATAAATACAATAAAAATCATAAATAACAATGAGTTATTTTATCAACTGAAAATAGTATTTAGAACAATTTTAATAAAATTGCATATCAAGTAAAAATGTTTACTGACACATTATAAAAAAAATAAAATTGTGGAAGTATTAAGAAATCAAATATATTATAAGTTCTACGACTGCCAAATATACAACAACATTAATTTTAGATATTTTGTATTTAAAGTAATATGTTTAGACATAACCAAATAAATTGGTCATATTTTTTTGCCACTTTAAAGTTTAATTTTATAACTAAGTACCAAGAAAAGATTTTCATAAATTTAATGATTAATTTAGATGGCCAGCAAATAATTAGAATGATGATATGTATAGCAAGAAGAATCCAATAACTTTTTAGTATAGGTATTTAATATTATTTATGTTTATTAAGAATAAAATTACAAAATTAAAAATAAACATCTATAGAATTTGACCCCGATTGGTATAAAAAATAAAATAAAAACTATGAGATGGAGTTATAAATTTGTATATAATATAAATATTTATATAACAACTTATAAACTAAATAATAATTACTAATAATAATAAAACATCATATTTAAATATTCCCATTGTAAATTACACGTTTTAAGTATATATTAATAATAAGCAATATTATATGTTGCAGTATTATCAGAATTCTCAAAAAGTGGGGTTGGATCAAAACAAACTACCGTCAACGGAACTTGGAAAGAAGTACATGAACTCTTACCAATTGCACACAGTTAATGTTTTAAGAATAAACTCATTTTTAAATATACCTATAATATAGCTATAATATGGCTATATTTAAAATTATAAATATTAAACAATATTGTACATAGTAAATGTGTTGTAAGAAACAGAAAATTTTGATTGGGAGAAAATTCTCTTCAAGTTATCGTCCTCCCCTACCAATCAAAAAACATTTTTTGTATCAATAAATGTGTAAATTATCATATAATTATTATTTAATGTAAATAGAGCAATAAAAACTTACAGTACAACACTATATTACAATAAAAATATTTAATAATCAGTAATTTCATTTTGAAATAACGATTTTGTAGTGTTTTTAAAATATATCTTTCAATTTATAATTCAGTAAATTTCTTATCGAACGTACTGGGAACGTGAAATAAACGGAATTATTACTAATACAATAATTTAATTTATAATAACTTATTTACTTTTACTGATTTAAAATTAAAAAAAAAAAAAAATTATAATATGACGTATAACATCGATTCCATTATAGAATTTACTATTCATTCATAAATGTTAATATTTTCTCTTGATTCCCCCTACCAATAAATAAATTTAGTCTACGGCTGTTAAAATAAGCATTGTAAATTATAATATGTATTATGTATATTTAATGCACTGTATAATATAAAAGTATAAAAACTATTTTTTTTTTTTTTTTATTAATTAATACATTTTATATAAGTGCTCTATATATTTTTGAATAATAATTGTTAGCTTACGTGTCCACTTATATTGATTTAATATTTTGGTGTTAACTATTATATAACCAAACATACAATATAACGGATATATATTAATGTATTGGCTTTTATAATATTATAATAAAAATGTGTACCTATTTGTAGTAGTTAATGATTCTATAGTTTCTAAATTTAAACTGTTAAATAGATTTTTTTATATGCATTTATTATATTATAACAACTATTATTAATTTACTAGTCATTTTAGTATTTTACATATTATATCAACTTAAATTAAAATGGATCAATTGAGAATTTTAAAAAAGTGAGTAAGTTATGTACATAACATTAATATAAAAAATTGATAAAAATTTCAAACATCTACGGTCATTCATTTTGAAGTTACACCAAATAAACAAAATCAATTTAATTAAATACTGGTTTTGTATAAAAATTCCCATTTTTCTTTAATTTTTATAATTTTTTAAAGTCCTGAAAATTTTTAATTTTGACCTGTTTAAAATGTAAAATAAATCCAATATTCTATCAGACACCATCCTCGAAGTTAAAAATTGAAATATTTTTTCGATTACTTATTGTGTATAGGTACATAACACAATACACATACACAAAACAACTCATTATAAAATCAATACACTCATCGCTATGCTCAGAATTTAAAGCTATGATGATAAATGATAAAGCCTAAATATTTAAATACTTAAATTTTATAGTCCAATTAAAATAAATGAAAAAAATATCCACTACATATAATATATCTTATGATTATAGACTATGATTCTAAAATATATATTTATACGTTAAAGTATTTAAAATTTTATCCAGGCCTTTTAACCAAGCTATTAAAGTATTTATACTGATGGTAATAGTCCTTAACAATAGTTTAATAAAAATATAAATTATATGTAATGTTTGATCTTGTGTTTATCACACTTGATTAGACCATTTTTACATATCATAAATGTTAATAAATTAATATTAATTACTAATATTTTAAAATCCCACCTAGTCTCTTTATTATCAAGACATTAATTATGAAGTTACTAAGAAAATTATAAATTTATTCCTATAATTTGTGAATAGTATAGGTATCATTTGATCTACACGACTACACCATACCGTGCGAATATGCGACGCTCACAATCACCAACACCATAACTTCCCGGTACATTTAAACACGAATTCAAAGGATTAATCCTCGGTGAGTAATGGTGAAGCTACATAGGTTCTTTATATAAAAATAATATCCAGTTTTTCTAACATCATGATCGTTATTTACGAATATAAATTATAATTTTGTATACATAACTAAACTGTATCATTAATAATTGTCAGTAGATTATATATGATTTAATAGATTGCAAACGCAAATCGATCGTATTTACAATAAAGTCTCACAATTAAAAATAAATTAATACATATCAAGTGACAAATGCACGCTTTTAACAACTCCAATGTTTAATCAATGAAAATGTATAGGCTTAAGTAACGGTCCTGAGTCCTCTATAGAAATTGTGTTTGTCACCCGTCGAGCAAACTAATTATACCTAATATATATAAAAAGTTATACATTTTACGATTTTAATTTACTTTTTATTCAAATACACCTAATTATTATTTTGTATATCGTCATTCAATTATTTAATAAAATGTAACTTTTCAAAACTATAAGTATGTATATACATATATACAATAGGCAATTCATCAATTAAATCGATGATTGCAAAAACGAGTCACATTTGTGTAAAACGTCATGAGTCAGAAAACTTTGAAAGTCAATAATAAAAAAACATCGTATTATTTATATACACAAATTATGTATAATCAGTGCAAAATATATTTCTACGAGTATTCATTTTTAAATAAGAATTCTTTCAGAATTATTTAAATTATACACTTTTTATCAATTATCCAAAAGTTTTAAAAATTTGACTCATGTCGTTTCTGCAATCATCGATTCAATTATACTTATCCACATTTGTATTACTTGTAATTCACCCTATACAGTACTTAAATATATTAAAATACAATCCGTAGCTGGTAAAGGGGTCAGGGCCAGGATTTTTCCCCTTTCTCGAAATTTTTTGAACGATTTTCGTAGCTTGTTTATTTGAAAAATGATAATGATGGCACAATTTGTAAATACTGTCTAATATTTGGTCAAAAATTTGAAGGCGAAAACAATCACTAAAAACTTTCCATTTTAATAGTCAACATTTTTAATAATTGGAACATGCAATTGAAGTATTCAATGAATATTCTAAAAAAGATATTCGTAATGTCTTGTGATATGACAATTTTATAGCTGCCATTCGAAAAACTATCAAAATATTGCACAAATGTTAGACTCATCGCGCTACACAAATAAGTATAGATCGAAGAAGATTAATAGCGATAACTGAAATTATAATCTCATTCATCCAACAAGAAATGGCTTTTTGTGATACTAATGATTCCGGACCACTTATAATAAAAAATGTCTAACATAATGATGGCAATTTGCGTGCTTAATTGTCGATACATATTTAATATAATGATAAAAACTTAATTGGCTATCTAAAGAATAAAAGATTAAATACTTTTTATTAAAGTTTTCTGATCCAGAATAATTTTATTGAATTTAATGAAAAAATTAAACAGGAAAAATAGTTGAAAAAAAAACAAATTTAAATGTTTTTCAGAGTTAATTAATGTTACGACAGATATATCTTACTTTGAATCAGTTTTCATTAAATATATTATATTCGGTATTTGGATTAAAATATAAACTATATAGAGGTCAAAAAAAGATAATACATAAGTAATGAAAGAAAATTTTTAACAATTTGAACTAGTATAGCAGACTAAAATTAAACAACAGTAATTTTAAAACTTTAAAAAGATTTAGTGTTAATCAAGGGTGAGTTCAGGAAAGGGGCACAGGGGCACGTACCCCTGTCAATTTTTTATCAAAATTTTTTTTTATGTAACTACAAGTATCACATAAATGAAAAATACAGTAAATAAGAATAAAACTGTCTACTGTTTTAATCATTGTTTGCATTTAAACTAATAAAATAGGGGTTACAGCTGCTTTAGTGTCTTATCGATACTTATATAAAACTAGAGATCGGATTTATATTCTCTTAAAATCCTCAAAATATGATATTTCTTTGTCATTTAAATAGACGATATATTCTCCTAATATTATTTTAAAATACTAGATAATATGATGTTTTATATCCTTAAAAATGCAAAATATTCTTTCAATATTTGAAAAAAAAATAAAAAGTTTTTAACATGTTTGTAAGTAATAATAATATGATAGAAAGACAACATGTAAGCAATAATATATAGCACTCAAATACCAATACTCACTGCAACGGACGACTGGATAGTCGTAACAGCTAACGAATTAGTCGATGTACTATTGTCATCGAAAAGAAATATTTGGTGATTAATTTTTATTAGAACCGAGGATATAAAAATAACTCGCATTAGTGAATATTGTATTAATTGATCAATATAATTGATAATTACCGATAATGTGAAACATATTCATTATGCGCCAATATTATAAAAATATTCTTAAATATTCATTAGAGTCTAACGTGTTGAATACTCTTCAACCCCTAAAATATGCTTTTTATGCAAGATAAATGTTTTCATATAAACTCTATGTTTCATGAATTGTAATGATATCTTACTCCCATTTAATCGCATACACTAGAAATAAATACGATAGTATTGAAGCACAACGCGGAGAGTTCAATTTATGGAAATAATTTCGGAAAAATAATTCAGAAAAAGTTAATTCTTCAATGGGAGCTTTTAAATATGCATCCATGTTCCATAACATTAAATGCCTTTTAACAATTCTTAATGTTATATCTATCACAACAGCAAGTGCTATGAAAGGTCATTCAGTCTTTTAAAAAGAATCAAAACTTACCTACAATCGACAATAAGCCAGAAAAGACTTTACAGCTTAGCAATGTTACATATAAATAAAGATATTCAAATAAAACTAAAAAAAGTAGGTAGATACTAGACGTGTTTGCTAAAAAACATAAACAAAGACTTATAAAGCTATTAAGTATGAAAATCTATAAACATATTTTTTCTTAATGATAACTATATGTATATAATAACTTACTTAGGTATAAATTATTATTTTGGTATGTAATTTTATGTAACCAACAAAATATTTAATATATTACCAAATAACGTTTAAAAATTATAATATGTATTATTAATTATACAATTTATATGTGCCCCTTATCAAAATATCCAAGATCCCACCTGGTGTTAATAATCAATACATGTTAGGACAAGGGTATGATGGAGTAGAATCTACGTAGATATAAATAGAAATTTCAAAGGCTTACAGTTTGTGATACTTGAAACTTGCACGGCATTCTACGTTCATTACTTAAATTTGGCCCTAACTCATTCTTCAAATATTCATCACATTCATAATTATATCGAAAATTGGTTAAAAGTTTTATTAAAATACTGAACAGACTGAGTTGTTAAAAATAAGATTAAGGAATTTATTCATGGAATAAAATGTACTAAATTAACATCTATGAGTGAAACTTGACGGGTCGAAAATCACGAAGAAATATACGATTTTAAAATATGTGTAAACATACTATCGAAACTTTAAAAGAACTTCTGTTAATTTAAGA